TTTTTTTTTTGTGCTTCTCAGTTACCTTAATCTTTCTTGGGTTTTTGGGCGCATTCGTGTAATATTGAGGGCAATATTCATCTTTTTGTAATGTAGTCAAGCCCTTTGCAGGGCCGCTGATTTTTCACTGTTTTTGCACTGTTAAACTTTTGGTTTTCTTAAAGTTAGCAGAGGATCAGCAACCTCCAGAATCTCCGGACATGAAATTTGCAAGATCTCGTCTTGGTCACCTCCTAAACGGTATTCGCACCGGTGAGATCCAAACGACATTGCAGCCTGCAAAGAGAAAGAATAGGTGCTTATGCTTTTATATAGTATTGATTGAGATTTATCACCTTTTCAAAGAATACTTCCATTTGAATAATTGCAACTCCGACTGCAAGTTTTGCTGAATGACGTTTTATCTTTATCTTTTTTTTATTCCTTGTAGTTTTCCAGAGTTTTGCTTTTTATGGTTCTTTTACTAATCTGATGAGATGTTCCGGGAATTATTTGCAATTTTCAGTCCAGGAGACTTTGAGGATTTAAACGTACAGAAAAGGCCGAAGAAACTGCTTCGCCGAGAAAGACGTAAGTAATTCCCGCGAGGAAATTCGGGTTTTTTAGCTTTTTTTTCGCCCACTTATTTGTCTTATTTATTAATTAAGGCGAAGACTATACTGCTTTTTTTGTGCTCTCGACAGGGGGTTCTGTGTTGTAGGTGTTGTATTTGAGCTTAGGGGGAAACCATTCAGTTTACGTGATACGGGGCGTACAGAAGCGGTTTACTCCTTATGTCGTACGTGGATGCGCGGGAAGGAAGAGGAACGTATAAAGTCGGACGTCAGCAATGAAGAGTCGGTTGAGCCTCCACAAGATTCTCTAGTAGGCTGTTTCCCCCCATTTATTGGACTTAGTCGTTATGATGCTTTTTCTGTGATATGAACTTTCTCGAAGTGAATTTATTCTTAAGCAGTTCCTTTTCAAAGCCTACTTTCTTATCGCCGACGGAACCTTCGATTGTCCATTATTTTTACCACATCCAGCAGTATTTCATTTTCAGGATTTATTAGCTACAAAGGAGATTAGTGCGCTTCCTAAGCCTCAGGACGATTTACCAGCAGATCCAGCACCACCTCCGTTACTTAAAAAGTCATCTGAAGGTGCAAACTTTGATAGGGTAGAAGATCTTTTACAAGATTCTCTTCCACATTGGCGAGAAGTGAAAAGGAAGTATGCAGCTTGATTAATATCCAATTTTTACTCTGAACTCTTTCCTGCTCAGAAATCTATAAATGCCAAATATTGTGTCGTTGTGTAATGTATGTATTTTCAGCTGGTGTGATTACGCTAAGATTCGTGATAAACGATTTGAAAAGAGCATTCAGCTGTTGGAGACGGTTTACGGGATAGCTCAGTCAAATGTGTTATGATATTTCTTTGTTACCTCATTAAAATATCTTTGGTTGGCTTTCTGGATACTTGGGTTCTGTGTTTCGTGTCTTTCATTCCGGATCTTAGTTAATGTTCCTCAGTTTTATTTGAGCTAAACAACGTATATTTTGAGGTGAGATCTCTTCTTTCGCTACAGATTATTGTGATGCGAATGTATGACTTGGTTATATTTAAGTCTGATTATAAATTAATTAGTACGTGTAAGTTATATTTTTTACTGTTTACGGTGCTTTGTTAATAACTATTTCAAGATTTCGCTGAAACTTTTTTACATTTACTTGACGCGTATAACTCTTGATGCTATCATTCTTGTTTTCAAGTGTAGGCTTCCTACATTGTTTAAAGTGCTTTTTTTGTGCGTCTATGTATTTATTCGTGTGTGCGTGTGTGCATGTAGTTCTCTGTTGTATATAAAGTGTACTTCAGTTTTGATGTTTGGCCAACAATTTAAATTTAATGTGTCTGCTTTCTAGTCTTGCAGTGTACCTGTTTTGCTGAAATATTTTGGAATCAGTTCAAGCAATTACGGTTTGTGAGAAATGTTTATTCAAAACTCTTAAACACTAACAGGGATTCTCCGGACTTGTTGAGACGTCTGTACAATTCAGCTCCAATTTGTTTGTACATTAAGGCTTAAGGCGGTTAATTTTGAGTTCACCTATGGGTTGCAATAAAGGTATTGGTTGTGCGAGATATGATTTACACAGTTCTAGGCATTAGCCGTAGCAGAATTGTTGATAGTCTTTATCGATTCTTTGTAAACGACGTTGAGTAGCTCGTCTTACGGTCAAGTTTAAACTTACATGGCTTTCTAGTTGCATGTTGGGTGCTTTACTTTTTGTGATGAGTATGTGGCTATTGATAACGTATGGCTGAAGCACCGAGTTGCATTGATTGATTTTGTTAATAGTGGTTCGTAGGAGTTTCTGTTCATGCTGGAGATGCAGTTGCAGGATCGTAGTGACAACAGCAAATATGGTGCGGTAGAAGAGGCCGTTGACACGTGGTTGTCATTGGTAGTTAGGGACTGTTATTCCATACGAGTTCTTTATTGCTCTTATGTGTTTGCCAGTTGACAGGTAATTAGTGGACGCTATTGTTTACTTATGTACTTCAATAGCTCGTGAGTGGAAAATCTAATTTTCTCCAATATGAAGGTGTTAACTGATTTTTAGTGAATTTCAGATCAAATTTTATTTAGATTAATCAAGGGTCTTTATTGTTCTGTTTCTCATTATTCGCTTTAAAGCTTAAGTCATTGCTACAGTAAGTCTTCTTCATTAGATAATTCCTCTCGTTTGAAAGCTATTTTTTTGTTTCCTTTTATTTTGTTTGCAGTTTCACAATTGGTTACATGTTGCAGCTGTTCTTGTTTTTAGTGCAGTTGCCTTTTGAAAATTTATATATTTTTTTATTTTTCAATTAAATATTCTGACTGTCTTGCTATTCGCTTAGTGAGTTTTTGTTTACTTTTAAAGATATTTTAAATATTAGATTCTCTACTCTGCTTGAACTCAGAATTTTTTAAGAAGTTTTTTAGAAGAGTTTTTGATTCTTTGTTATATTCGGTTTGATTTCTTTTTTTTAAAACAGTGTAGAGTATTTCATTAATCGGTAAAAATTTTTATTTCATCACGGCTTTTTTAGATGGAAAATCTAAAAGTACTGTTTAAAGACTACTTTAAGTGTGATGCACAATGCGGAGTACGCTGTCCAGGACGCGTGAATCTCATTGGTATGTTCCGTTAATTATTTTGAAATGTTAATTATCGCACTGAAAGGTTGTGTAAATTCTTCGACTGCTTTTTGTTACTCTGTAGGCGAACATGTCGATTACAGTGGCTACGGAGTTTTACCAATGGCTATAGCGATGTCGACCCATATTTTGGTATCGTGGAGAGATACAGATGAAATATGTTTCGCCAATACTGATGCAGCTTTTCCGTCAGTTTCGAACTGTAGCTAAATTTAGCTTCGTTTTATTTAAAATAAGTCTAGATTTGTTTCATCGTAACGCTTGCAGTAAAATTATTTTGAGGAAAATTGTGCAGTAAGACTTGTTCCAGTCAAGTGCTTTTTTTTCAGTGCAGCTACGTATAAACTTGAAGAGGTTTGGATTGGGAAGCCAATAAAATGGTATTATTATTTCTTATGTGGTTGGAAAGGTATAATCGAACACCTGAAGTTGAGCCCTCGTGGAATGAATGTCCTTGTTTCTGGTATTTTCTGTAAATTATAGCAGACTCCTAAGTATTAACTAACTTTTTTTTTCGCGATATGAAGGATTATTCGGAAAAGAATGATAAATGGCACTGTATCAAGAAACGTTTTTTGTATTTTGAACCAGTATTTAAGTTCTTAAACGACGTCGCTTTGTTGTTGTAAGCGGTATGAGGAATTTCAGCATTTTTTTTTCAAATTAGCTTGGGTCATAGTTAAGTTTGTGAGTGGAATAGACACAGAAAGCAGAAAATTGAAAATCAAAAAAAAAAAAAATTGAAATTGCTGGACTTGATGTGCTTAATTAGGAATGTGAAGGAAAATTTTTCATATCTGTTGCTTCTAAAAAGCTTTATAGGCTAGTCAGTTCAAAATAAATTTATTTGACAGTGTATTTTTGTAAATTTTGACTTTTATAATATGATGTAGGAGTCCCAGCTAAGTTGTGATAGATAAATGGTGCAGATGAGGAGTTTTACGTTGGAAGTCTCATACTATTATCAGGTGATTTCACAGCTGTTATTAAGGATCAATTTTAGGCTCGATTCCTGTGAGCTCGGGACTTTCAGGATCAAGTTCAATAGTGTGTGCCGCAGCTTTGAGTGTTCTAACCTTGTACAGAAATGAGCCTTTTGAGGTTATGAGTAAGGTTGGAGGCTATAATACTAGGTTATTTGTAACCATGAACGTTTCGTATATGAAAGTCATTTTTGCTGTTACAGTTGTGTTTTTTGAAAAAAAACTTTATTCTAGTTTCTCAGATATTTTCAGTTTAGGCGGCCTTGGCAGATTTGTGTGCCAAAATTGAGCGGTATATTGGAACAGAAGGTGGTGGCATGGATCAAGCTATTGAGGTTTTAGGAAAATCTGGCTGTGCAATGATGATAAATTTTAATCCACTCAAAGTTGAGGAAGTTCCTGTACCAAAAGGAGCACTTTTTGCTGTGCTTCATTGTGGTACTACTTTGACGAAGTCAACCACTTCAAACTACAATCAAAGAGTAGTTGAATGTAGGATTGCAGCACAGGTACTGCAAGTTCATATGAATTTTTTTTTTTGTAAATGCATGAATTTTGAAGAGGAAAGGAAAATTGTAACTTATTAATCATGTGTTTCAGTAACGGTGTGAATCATCAATTGTATAGAAATTTTTCGATACCCATGTTGTTTCACAGATAATGGCAAAGTTGAACGGAGTAGAGGAATGGAAAAAAATAAGGACGTTAAAGCAAGCTGCTGACGTCCTCGAAAAAAGTCCAGATGGGATGTTGCTGGTAGTGAAAAGTATTCTTACGAAGCCCCTATACTCCAGGGCGGCAGTTTTGGAGCTTCTTGAACTCGATGACGCGGAATTTGCCCAAACTAGTTTGTCGAGAAATACACAAACAAGTATGGCATTGAGAGTTATATAAGGTTTATAAGTGAGTTATTAACCTTCAGCGGTAATTTTGTTTGGTAGTTTAAGTAAGCAGTTTTGTGAGATTTGTTGATAAAATTTTTCATCGCAGCTTAAAGTTATACGCAGCTTTTATTGGTCATCTAAAATTAGTTTCCTACATGTTTATCTTTTAAAAGCAGCATTTTAAGTGGATGAATTCAAACTGCAACAACGGGCCAGTCACGTTTATTCTGAAGCAGCTCGTGTGGTACTGTTTAAAGATGCATGCCAGGTTGGAGATTTGCAAAGGCTTGGGAAGTTAATGAACGAGAGTCATGCTAGTTGCAGAGACATGTATGAATGCTCTTGTAAAGAGCTTGACAATACGGTATGAGTTGACTACACTTGATTTTTGCATTAGTATGACAGTTTCTGTTTAAACTCTATCAGTTGAGATTCTTGATAACTTTATAAACGGTGCATCGGAGGTTTTTGCAGGTCAAAAAGTGCCTTGACTGTGGTGCTTTGGGTGCACGATTAACGGGTGCGGGTTGGGGAGGTTGTGTTGTAGCGTTGTTCACAGAAAAACGGAACGACCTTGATGTTCTTTTTTGGAGTGAGCCGTCGGCTGGGATTGAAGTAACGAAGTTTTAAACCAAGTTCAGTATAGTCTTCTTTATGCTCTAGTTAATGTTTGTTGAATGGGTTTTGTTTTTTGGTGTGCGCGATTTATAAAGGTTTCTGCAGAACAGTGTTGTTTTCACGACTGAAAAAAAAAATTTCAGAGGGTTTATAGGAGGTAACGTGGATTAGATTATTATTGACCTAGTGAGACCTCCAAATGAAAATTGTTTTATAGGGAAACTGGGGAATGTGTTTCACTTGTGGGATTGATTAAGCTAAAAAAGTAATGATTGAAATTTCTCCTAATCTTTTTTAAATGACGTTCTTCTTCTCGAATAAAAATTATTGGCCAGGCAAAAGGAGGTTAGCACGATGACGTTGGTTGTTTTGTCTTGTATTTCTTATTAATTTATGATTTATCCGGCCAATTGGACAAGTAAGAAAATTTTGGCGCATAAGTTTAAAGATGTAAATACCGATTTTTTTTTTCGATTAGTGCAAAATTCGATCCAAAGCTGTTCTAAATACATAATTTTTTGGAAAATGTTAATTACTTTATCAAAGTGTGGCTTTGCTGAGCGGTTTGCTGGTATGATTAATAAAAAGCTTCTGTTTGTTTCTTGGTTTTACAGGTGAGGGGATCTGGTATTGGCGAAATACCGAGAAATTTAGTGAATAACACAATGTGGAAGCGTGAATATCAGATGAATCACGAAAGGGAGGGGGTAGCTTTATTCGAATGTGTTAGGGGTAAGCTTTGAAATCACTACTGTTGTCGGTTAAGTTAAGCAAATATGGTTAGATCGGGTATTTCCCTAAATGAATGTCGACATATGAAATTTCGTTTTGTTTTTTTTTAAATACTAATTAGAAAATGGTTTTATTAAATTAATTCACAAGTTTTTTTTCCAGGATTTATTGGATGATAAAAATAGTCGTTTTTTTGAAACTTTGAGTAAGAATGGGCGCAGAAAAACTACAGGTTTATTGCAGATTAATAAAGTAGTTAGTGGTAAATACAGAATCAGTATTGGTGAATATAGAAGACAAGCGTCAGTCGGCTTGATTAGTCACAAATGTGCAAACTGACCTTTCCTCGTAGGTTTCATTATTATAACTCCTTCGCTCCTGTATTTAGGGACTTGCTGCTTGTTTGTGCTCCACTGTTGGAGCGCGGACCAAACTTCTGACTAATGCTTAGATACTGGAAGAAGAAAGATAGCGACTAAACGAGTGATTAACTGCGACACAGTTCAGAACACAAATTTATAGTCTAAAGCAATAAGTAGTTACTTCTAAGTTTTTCAGTAAGCCATCAAAGGAGAAGGAGAGAATTACAACAATAAGATGACTAATAAAAACTTGATCCTAATATCAGTCTATTGTAACTCAGAAAGTTTGTCAGACGGATCAGAAGCATGCTTCACTAAGTTGCATGATTAGACCTTTTAAAGCCAAATTTTATTGGCAGATAAGTTTACCTAGGCCTATTCTCTATTGTTGCACATATTTGGCACAGTGTGACCTTACTCCCATTACACAAGCAAAAGCTAGCAGTTTGTTGAACTGTATAGGCCTTCCCGGCTT